GCTTTCAAGATTCCCGATCAAAGACTCCAGAGTAACGTTGTGAAGCATGCGCACGTTGAGCGTCAGATGATAGTTTATTGATTGCTAAAGGTCCGCGGGTATCACGGGCAACAAAAAACGTGCAACTTGTTTTGCAACATTGCTGTAGAACGAGTTGAATTGCGATGCTGCACGTTTTACCACCCACGAAAACAAACCCTGCAACCTTATTTGTTGCAAGACAGGCTCGAAGGTCGGTGGTAAAACGCACAACATCGCTATTCAGCTCGTTTTGCAGAAATATTGCAAAACAAGTTGCACGTTTTACGTTGCCCGTTTTGCCGTAGCTTTAGGGGCTGTCAGTTACGAATTTTACCAAATTTCTAACAGTAGAGAGAGGGCCAGTGGCGATGGGGTTAACCGTCAACCTTCTAAAAGGTTTTTTTTACCGTCAACTGTCAAAAATGCACGGCAATATTAACCGTCAAAACGTTTCAAGGTAATTCAAACCTCGCTATTTCAGCTGATCTTCACGGATTTCTGACTCCTGAAGAATATCGTAACAGGAAAAACCAGTTCCCACGTTCTCAAAAACACTCAGTCCTTGTAGACATTACAAGACCTTATACAACTTGCTTATATCTCTAAATATTTCGAAATTTGACTTGTAGTTAATATTAATTAATACAGAAGTTTACAATACTTGCTAAATTTCCGCTAAATAACTGTCAACCGTCAAAAGCTCTAAAATTTAATCATCAATTTTTAATGATTGTAAAGTTTGATACAATGCTAGGGAAGTATATTTGTTGGAAAAAAGGCTGTGCTTTTGTCGTTTACAAGTGATGTCTTCCATAACGCATAATGAAGCGTAATTGTCGCTTTTTAACAAAATGAACTTACAGCCATGACGTAAGCCCCTTTAAAGCTCAGTTAATTAAGAGAACCCATGCTTTCTCTCAGTAAAGAACTGCAACTAACTTTAAGTTAAAGGCTAAACTTCAGAATACCGGGCCACTTTATGGACATTTTTAAAAGAAGCCCCCGCTCCGAGTCGAGGCTTTACAGTAAACACCCGTACATAAGAACTAGTGGAATAATTTTCAGCCATCAAAAGAGTCTCAATGGGGTTAACCGTCAGCCGTCAAACGGCCTAAAATTTAACCGTCAGCCGTCGAAAAAGATGATTTTTTTTACCGTCACCCGTCAAAAATTGAGATAATTATTAATCGTCAAGGAGTTTCAAGGTTTTTCAAATCTCACTATTTCAGGACTGATCTTCAAGGACTTCTGGCTCTTGAAGAATCTCTATCAAAAACACTCTCTTTCTCTCGACATTACAAGACCTTACAACTTCCTTAAATCTGAAAATGTTGCGAAATTTCATAAGTGAAAGGCCAAGACAACCTCCAAAGCACAACAGTTAATGTTAATTCAATACAGAAATTAATATTAACTCTTGGAGTAAATTTCTACTAGTAACCAACCGTCAAAAGCTCTAAAATTTAACCCTTCAAAATTGGAAAAAAGTAAGCGTCAAAGCTACCACCCCATTGAGATCTTTGTCAAACGGCTTACTGTAAAATTTAACCATCAGCAATCAAAAAAGGTTAGTTTTCACCGTCAACCGTCAAAAAAGCAGATGGATATTAACCATCAACTGTCAAAAGCTCAGAAATTTGACTGTCAACCGTCAAAATTGGAAAAAATCAACCGTAAACCGTCAAAGTTACCACCCCACTGGGACCCTCTCATGAAAGCACTAGTGTACATAACAGTATTATATTGAGGACCATTCAGTAATCCGGGGGAGCTTGGCTAGAGAGCTAAGAAATTTTTAGCCTGTTCCAGGCGTTCAGAGAGTAGAGCGCGAAAACTTGACGATAGGAAAAAAAAAAGACTGGAGACTAAGGAGGAAAAAGGGGATCTCGCCCTAGTCTCCGCTCGTTTTTCCTCTCGTTTTCCCAGTTGTGTAGGAACTGCTCGTAAGGCCTCTCCTGATTGGTCGCAGTAAACAATGACATGTCATTCTTTCAATTGTTTTAGTATTGTTTGGGGTCAGGGTTAAGCACCATAGGTGACTTGCTACGTGGCCCCGTTTTCCCCGCGTAGGATTTCCATTTAACTCACTCCCCAACGTCGCTTTATAATATCTGAACGCCTGGAACAGGCTAAGAAATTTTGAGAAATATTAAAACTACTTAACAATATGACGTTGATTTTTTAAATTGTTAATGTTGAATTAGTTATATTAGCAATAGCATTTATTTATTTTTTTAATTCAAAATTTATTTTGTAGTGCAAGTAATAGAACATTGTATCTAGCTATGTGTGGACGATGAAAAATACATTGTATTTTTGAAACAAATTTTTAGACCAATTCAAAGCTGATGATTTCTAAACTAAATCACCCCGTAAATAAGAACTTGATCAGCTCCAACCCCCAAAAATCGTACGGCTGGTTATTTAAAGGAAGTTTAGCCAGTGTTTAACAAAACCGCGTTCTGAGCCATTTTCAGTT